TTCTTGGCCTTCGCTGATGTAATGCCGTCACGTGCATTCTTGGCCTTTGCTGTTGCAGTGATGCTTACAAGCAACATTCCTGACGTGCACAACTTGAGGACTCACAAAACAGAAAAAGCAAGAGGTCTAAGATTTCACAATTAACGAGACTTTCAGGGATAAGAGGAAGGCGTTGTGCACATGAAGCTCATAATGTGTGAACATGCTCTGCTTCATTTCTGCCTCCATAAAGGAAAGTTTACATTTTTATGAAACTAATGCAAGAAGAATATAATCCAGAAATGTTCTTGTCCACTCTGAGCTCATGAAATGGACCAAACACAAACTGTCAAATGATTTTAAAAGTTTATATTTCCTTTAAAATTCCTCCCATGAAGCTAAAACCAAGCATTTGGTTATTTTCTGTACAGATGACATGAAGCGGCACTGACTTCACCCAAGGTGCCGGCAGTCTGCCTCTTATTTGAAAGGCATTTCCACGTCTTGCTGAAACAGAACCAAAGCCTCTGAGTCTTGTTCCTCTTTAATTATGTCCATGTTGTCCCACCCTGCTCAGTGGCACTAACTGTTCATTCCTTGGACATTACTCAGCTGTGACGAGACCGTGGACTGTAGAAAGATCTCTCCACGTCCACGAGACAGAACAAGACCAGCGATAATAAAACTTGATTCCTTGTGTTCTTTAACTTTACTTCGCTCAGTCAGAGGGGTCCAGTTTAGTTCAACTGCAGGGGAACCTGCTGCTTCACGTCGCCTCTCTGAGCTGCTAAAAGCTCTGAATGAAACCGTGTGTCACACGGGACGTGTAAAGTGCAAAACCAGTTCCTCAGCGTTCAGGAAGATGCACGGCTCACAGCGATGCCTGCAGCTACTTGAGTTAGAGATGAGGTCATTCGTTCAGGTGGGGATCCTGAGTGAACTCTTGCTCCTGAAGCCAACGCAGAGCTCTAGTCTGCTTGTGTTCACTTGTCTGTACAGTTAGCAAAATATCTTGTCAATCCATCCATCATCCATCCATCCATCCATCCATCATCCATCCATCCATCCATCCGTCCATCCATCCATCCATCCATCCAT